TGAGACGTGTTTTAAAAGAAAATGGTTTCTTAGCACCGCTCAAAATCAGAGGCAGTTTTTCTTCATCTTACTGTTTCATAAACACTAAATTTGACTATACTATGTTAAATAGGTCTCCATATAACCCGTGCTTCAAATCAAATTATTTTACATGAGGTATCTTGCTGTGGTTTTTGACTTGTGGCCTCGAGTGGTATTATGATTGAGCAGGCAAGCCTAATATCGAGCAGAAACTTTAGCTTTCGGTGAATCTTTATTTTGTTGGGGGAAAGCTCACTGAATGAAAGTAGCAGAAAGAAGAAAAAGCTAAGTGATTGTGGATAGTATTGTGAAAATGCTACTTTGTTTCTTCTTTTTGTGGCTATTTTCCCTTTTAATGGAAGCAGACGTTTGCCGTCTTCAAAGGTAAAAAGGGTTTGTTCAAGATGTTTGGAGCGTTATCTGAATGTGTATAATTGGTTCTGAAGCCGATCTCTGTTTGGCGTAGGGTCGAGTGCTGCTGATGTGCTTGTGTTTTTTTATTTTTAACTGTGGAAATGCAGCATTGGTATGTTGGCTTGTGGAATGACTCGAGTTCTGACTCAGGAAAACTCATTTCTGATGCTCACAGGAAACAATCCGCTCATTTTACACAAACCTCCTGCAGTTATTGTGTTCACTGTTAGTTATGAGAGGTAAAATTAATGGTTCAAAACAGGAAGTGTGGGACCAGGAGGACCACTCTTTTACTCCAATATTCACCAGGTTAGCTCTTCACAACCAGTTCAACAGCAGCCAACAATTAATAATCTTCTTGAAATAAACCTTAAGTAACCTTAAGTTGTTTTTCTCCTCTGCGTCAGTACGATGCTTTGAAGAATACCTTCTTTTCCACACAGTGAACTTGGTTAGAGGAATATAATGTGGCACAGAATTTCATTACGGCCTACTGTAACGCCACCGGCCGCTGCATCGGCTCTGTAATTATATATAATCACATTCAAGAACATGCTGTCTGCTGGTACCGTTCCTGTATCACGTCCAGACAAGTGTCACTCAGTAATTGTGTTACCTTGTGTCTGTGTGGGTGTTTAATGGAGGGACACTGTTGGCGAGGGGGGATAGAATAATGCCTTCCTGTAAATGTGTTGTTAGTGTTTATGATCAACAACTTTCTGTCTTTTTGTTTTTGCCTCAGGAGAAACCACACCACTGTACCCAGCAGAGATCACTGAAGAGCTCCACCTCAAATCCTCTCAACTGAACCAAACTGAGGTACATTTTAAAGTCTGAACTATTAACTTTTATAAAAACATTTAAAATGATGCAGTAATTATTGCCTCCTCGCAGCCAGTCGCTCCAACTTTGTGCAGTTTTACTGCTGTTTATGTAACACCTACTGTTATACAAGGGACTATTGAATGTACAGTTCTAAGGGCTGGGTGATAACTCAGTATTATTGGGGTTAATATGGTCTCCTGTTACTATAATACACATTTCTCTTTCTCACAATCATTAACAGCCTTTTTTTTTTCTCCAAAACTCATCACACAGTTGGCACAACATGCATCTGTTGTGGAACATTAACACAATTCGTGTTGTTTTCACAGAATATGCAGCCATTTAACACATTTCACTTACGTTTTCTTTACATAAAAGAAATTATTTCAGTGTCAGAGACATAGCCAGGTTCTGAAGTTCTTTTAATTATATAACTAACTATATAGTATAAGTAGCATTCAAACCTGTCATACAGCTGTGAATCATCCTTAAAAACCTCTAATGGTCTTTATAACTTTAACACTTTTCTTCTCTGGTCTCAACATATTGACATTTCTGTTTCAGGTGAAAGTCGTGTTCGTGTGAGAGGCGGCGAATACCGCTGGTGAGTAAACAGGCGCTGTGTGCGGAGAATTCTCCTCACAGTTTGAGTCGATATCAGCATCAACTCTGAACTACTTTTCTCTTCTGAAGCTCAGAGACCAAAACAAACATCTAATCCAAAGTATTTCTGTGTTAAACTAAACTTCCTTCTACATTAATACCTTATTTTCATGGTAGACTTAATTATTAGGGATGTGTGAAGTGTGTTATTGGTTACATTAATTCAAAATAACTTGTTTTAGGGCACAAAACACAATAACCAAATCAATCACCTGAACATAAACCTCATGTGTAAATTCTAGTGGTAAAGTGCTAACGTCTAAATTCTAGTTCAGGTTGAAATCCCTGAGCCTCAAATGTTGATCCAGATTTTGTTTACATACAAACTTTTCAGTTTAGTGTGAGGTCAGACTCATAGTCGAGTATTTGTGCAGAAAAATGTGAAATGTGTTCACGTCATCAGACAATTCAAGATTATTGTAAGATTGCTACATTTAAATTTAGGGTTAATAACCTTAAACAGTGAACTTCAGCTGATGTGAGGTTTTAATATTTGTTCACTTTTTTCAGGCAATGTGAGCTATTAAAACTCTGACTTTGACATACATTATTTACAGGTCAGGAACTGGTAATTCCTACATGACTTAAACGCAGCGTGTAAAAATCACTGCTACTGCAAAATGAAAGCTGTTACAGAGTTTTATTTTCTCTCACACGTGTTGGTCCTCAGGAACAGCAAACACATATCAGATGCATAGTTAATAGCTCATTGGATTGTAAAGAAAGACAGTGTGTAAACAACAGAACTCTGTAAACAAAAACAATTTCACAGCTTCAGAACTGAAAGAAAACAGAAAACAAAACCAGATGTAACGGAGTTTCTTCCTCAAAACAAAACTGAGTAACAACATTTTTTATTTTTTTTTACCTCAAACACAGAAAAATGTTTAACGATGAAAGTTCATTAACACGTTACCGACAGAAACCCTCAGACTTTATTGCTCTAATGTGACTGGTTTTGAAATGTTTCAGATTCACAGCTTCGTCCCTTTCAGCTCATTTCTACCTTTAGTTAAGTGTGGAGGTTGTTATTGATAACTTACTGTATTTTAGGACATTCACTGTTGTTGAATTAGAATAAATGAACGTTTCTAGCACTTTTGATGGGATGCAGAAATAACTATCGCTGCATATTGATCCTCAAGAGGATCCTCATTTGATACAGTGGGTGGAGCTTCCAGTTTAAGAGTAAGAGGTAGAACTACACCAATAAATCAAAATATAAAGTACCAAGAACTACAATACAGACGTACAGTGTCTCTATTGCATAGTTTGACCACCACAGAGCACAGATGAGATCATTTTTACATTAAAATGTCCTGTTTGCGTCTTGGTCAAGAAGAAAAATCAGAAGAGATCAAGATTGTTGTTAAAAAACTAAAAGTATAATAGTCAATTTTTAATCCACCAAATATCAGTACTGGTCGACAGTAGGAAGCTCATATTATAAAGTCCTGTGCTAACCCAACTACATAATAATTTCTCAATTTACCAATTCCCTATTTCCCCCCAGAGACGCTCCGCCTTTAAAAATAAAACTCCAACCTGATGAGAGGATCTTAAGTTGCAAACAAACTGCAGGTGTGTTTAAATTGAGTAGTTTTTCACAGTTTTTAGAGCAAAAGACAGTGAAACATAAACCAATAAAACGCTGACGTTCCCTCAGAACTATCTCCCTGTTTCTGAGAGGACGTATCATTGCTCAGGAGTAAAAAGGCACAGACATTACGCAGACAGTCGACGTTCAGGTCCAAGATACAATCGTCCTCCACCGACACTGCGGGAACAGAAAATCCTCGTTAGTCATCACTGGAGCCAAATAGAGCTTAAATTAGATGAGAAGTACGCAGCATACTGTGCTTATTGTAGAAGGAATGTTTTAATGTGATTTTATGCATTTTCTGAACAGCAGTTCTTCCCGAGGGTACAGTAACATTTAAGTGGAATAAGATGCTGAAATGCTTTATTGTGCTTGAATAATGGCAGTCGATTTTTAAAGGATGTGAAAAATAACACAAAACCCTTGAAACAAGCATTTTACTCCCTTCATCGTTCATAGTGTAGACATTCAATAGCAACTTACCCAGGTTTAATCAGAGGGGATCCTCTTCTTGGATTTCTTTTTCTGGAAATCAGAACAAAAAGAGGACACTTGGTGGTTTACTTTATAATTCCCAACAGGTTTAAACTCACAACATGCTTTAACATGTGAGAATTAAACGTCTAATGTAAGTATTGTTATTGAAAGGTTGGTTTGTGTTGTATTTCAGCAGTTTCTTACCGTAGGAGTAGCCAGAGGAGTTTGTTCCTCTGCAGCAGCTTCTGTCTCCTCCACTTTCTCCTTTAGTCTGTTCTTCTCTGCAAACATCAGTCAGCACGAAACATTAATATCAGCACACGGTGAAGTTCAGATCCACAAGAAACTCCAGTAAATATAAAGTATACATCCAAAATGTCAAATCTGCTGCAGCTTAGTTTGGTGCTTCTACATGTTAAATTACACTTTTAAACATTGTTTTTCTATCAGTTAAGAGACTGAAGCGTATCTGGTTATTTTCAGAGACAATATGACCAGTGTTTAGCACAACAGAGCTAAAGGTAGGTTTCCTTTCGTCTCTCAGTGACATTAAGAACATTTTCAGAATAAAAGGTGAAAGTGTTTACACCGTCAGCAAACTTAAAGCTAAATCCCAAACACGCTGTTGTAGGTTAAAGACCACCTTTGGCTCTGGAATACTCTTTTTACTGATCAATTACAATAATCGTTAGCTACAGTATGTGAAATTAATGTTCTTACTCTTTTTCTTTGCAGGTACATCGGGGCTCACATTGATCTCCTCTTCCTTTCCAGCCTTCTTCTTTTTCTTCTTCTTCCCTTCCTTTGAAAGCGGAGAAGACTCAACCTCAGGAAGCTCAGCACTCTGCTCGCCATCAGCCTCCTCGTTCACCGTTATCGGCTTCTTTTTCTTCTTTGGTGGCTGGTTTTCCTTTGAGGAATTCTCTTCTTGCTCCGCGTTCATTTTCATCTTTTTCTTCTTCTTCTTTGGTGTGTCGTCCTCCTGGGCAGGACCAGGTTCGGGTCTTTTGGTTGCTTTTGGTTGAGGCGTCTCCTCGGCTGCCTCTTGGGTCTGTTTTTGTCTGAGAAATGGTGAAAGTTTATTTTCCTTTTTACTAAATATTCAGAATATTGTTCCTACAATACATTTGGATTTTGAGAATATTTACACCACCATCAGAACTACATCAGTTCAATCCCAATACGCCAGACACATGCTTCAAGTGTTTCACAGTTTATGGGAATATGATGGTGGTTAAAAGCTACGTAAACGGCACATATCACACAGAATCTGATCTTCAGTGTGAACAGTCCTGTCAGGATTAATGGGACTTTAATATAACACCAGATCTGTTGGTTAAGCAGCTCACTGCAGGACCGTGACCTGTTAAAATGAGCCACTTTTAACAAATAATGTGAACAGCCAACAAAACAAATCAGATCTGAGTGCTGAGGACTGATAGATACAGGATGAACAAATGTCAACAAACCAGATATGAATCAGTATATTAAGGATCATCATCATGTGTCACTATGGAAAACATATTACTGAAGAAAAGTTAAGATGTTGGCGGTGGGGGCAACTGGAATAAGATATAATAAATGTACGAACCAACATAACCTTTAAGATTCCTGCACGTTGTAATTACTGTGTCATCTGTATATTTACTGTTTTTATTTACTTGACTTTTCATTGGATGATATTGACTCAATCATTCTACTTTATTCATATTTAATGGCTAAAACCCCGATACAAATATTAAAAACTGCACATTTATTGTCTTTTATAGACGTTATTCTTGTGAGAATTGTAACATTTTACTGTATAAAGGTTTTTTCTGCAGTATTCAATATCTTTCCAATTGTTAAACACCACCTAAATATGTTTGTTTCCCCTTCATGCTCTGAAATGTCTTTAACATTGCAAACATTTTACTATGATAAAGTTATTATAGTCTTTGCTGTGACTTTTGACACCAAACAAATTGTTAAAAAAAAAAATTTTTAAGTACTGAAATAAAAAAAATTAAAAATATTCCATATCTCAATAAGTTATTGCTGTTTGTTTTTTAATCTAAACTACATAAACTTACAAATGTTATCAGTTTATAGGAGTACAGTACAGTCTAACTTGCTCTATATAAACGTGTCCTGAGATAACTTTCAGTTAGTTTTTCAACTTCCTGTCCAGTTATACATTTTAAGCATAAATGTCAAAGATTTACTGACTTTTTTCTGCCTGTGAGCTTCTTGCTTTCTGCTGCTGTCTCAGTCTGTCCTGAAGTGACACTGCTGCTCTTCCTCTTCTTCTTTTTCTTCTCCTCTTGCCTCTGCAGTCTCAGTCTCTTCTTCAAGCTGAGCTTCTTCTTCCTGAGGCGTTTCTTCTTGGCCGAGGAGAGCTGAGAGGAGTTTCCATCTAGAGGAAAAAATACAAATCACTGAACTCGTATAGAACAACAAACTGATGAACTCTTTTTTTCAGATATAACGTCTATGAAAAGATTTCTATGTAAAGAGATTTTCTCTCTACCTGTGGCCTCCTGCTTCAGTTCTGTGTCTTCATCGCCCCCTGCTGGTTTATCATCAGACTGCGCCTCCTCTTTCTCTTGTCCACCCTCCTTTTTCCTCTTTTTCTTCTTTTTTTTCTCCTCCATTGTTTCTGCCGGACTCACAAGATTCTCCTCCTCCGCTCCCGCCGCCTCGCTCTGCTCCTTTTCCACATCTTTAACCTTCGTCTTTTTCTTTTTGATTTTGTTTTCCAAAGGAGTGACGGGAGTTTCCTCATCTTTCTCCTCCTCTACCACTTCCACTTCCACTTCCACTTCCTCCTTCTCCCTTTTCCTTTTCTTTGCCTTCTTCTTCTTCTCTGATGAAGTGGCCAGAGGAATGTCCTCCTTCTGCTCCTCCTCTTCCTCCTTTTTCTTTTGATCCTCCTCTTCCTCCTCCGGTCTCTTTTTGTCTCTCTTTTTCTTCCTTGCAGCCTTGGTGGAAAGAGGAGTATCAGTGGGTGTATCTATGGTGGAAGCGTCTGTGCTCGGCGTGTCTGCAGTTGGCGTCTCCGCGTTCTTTTTGCTCTTCTTTTTCTTCTTCTTGGGAGTTTGGGCCTCCTCGCAGGACTCCGCAGCCTCCTCGGGGAGCGGTTGGCTGGTTTCTTGCTCAGCGGCTTCACCGTCTTCTTCGACTTCGATGTTGAGGATGATGGAGACCTCTGGGTCAACTTGCTCCTCTGCAGCTGCCTCAGTCGCCTCTCCTGCAACAAATAAACACATTCGAGATGTTTTTTCTTTGAGAACACACAGTGGGTATAAATTTAAAGACAGAATTTGTTACTGCTTTCCCAATAATCACAAAGAGGATATCAGAAAACACTCCCAATAAAATGTAGAAGAATCTAGAATTAATGCTGAACAGTGACTGCATGTAACTTTTAGGAGGATATATAAATACAGACATTTGAAGCATTGTGTATTAGAGAAGAGTTGTGTGACGTGTTTTAATTTTGGACAATACCTGTGTCACCAGTGTCAGTGACGGGGGGGTCAGTAGTGCCGCCGTAAAGTCCTCTGAGAGGCTTCTCTGGTCGGGGTCCTCAAGCTTCAGTAGATTGTGGGGGTCGACTAGCCCTCTAGTCGTTCGGAGCTGAAACACACACACCACACACAACAACACAACACCACACCACACACACACACACACACCACACACACACACACACCACACACACACACACACACACACACTACAACACACACACGACATCAACCAACACCACACACACACACACACAATTAATTACTGCTTATTGTTTCTTCTCCCTGGCCTATCAACACTGTACATTTTTGGTCTTTGGCCAGTCTACAACAACAATCCCTCAAAAAAAATGTTGTAGGGTACCTCTAATTTCTCCTCCTCTTCCTCCTCTGGAATTTCAGAGTCTGAAAAAGATGAAAATAGTTGCCATGCATTTCATTATTGCCTCTGGAGTATTTACCAAACATGACATTTAGAAACTAAAGAGCAACTTTAACAATACTGAAGGGAAGCAGAAAGAAAATGTTTCTATCTTTAAGGTTAAATCTAACATAACATGGCAATCTTCACGGGGTTTCAATAAAAGGCCCAGGCTTCTAGTCTCAGTCTATCGAAGATATAAATGACATACATAAGCATATCCAACATGGCTGATCTACAGAAAGGATTACACTGATCACCATCTTATTTAATCGTGTCAGCATGCTAAGGCTCATGGGAATGTCATTCGTTTTGCAAGAAGTACAGAAATGTCTGACTTTGACATTGATTCAAAAGTCAGAGGATCAGGAAGTTATTATTTTATAGTTGCCAAAGTCCTCCTGAGGGGAATATGTATAGAATTTCTTCATCCGACAGTTGATACAGTATATCGCACTAAGAACCACAAATGTCAACCTCGTGGTGGCAGAACACGGCTGATAAAAAGCAATTTAAACTTTCAAACACAAAAACAAAAAGCTCTCCTGCGACACTGGGAACCGACTTCGAGTTCAAAGTTCCTCAGATTTTATATTCAGCTGACATCTTTGTTTGATGAACACCTCCAGATTTTCACTCAGTTGTCTTCTGACATTCTGCCTGAATAAATATTGCCGACCTGAGTCTCGATGGCCTCGCAGCATCAGAGCCTTTTTCACAGCACACATTTTTACTTATAGCTAAAACAGCACAGGTGTAATCAATTAATGACAGCTCTATAAGTGATGTTAGATTTGAATTCATTTCACACACTTTGAGAATTAGTCTCTGGAACACGATCACCTCATTCAGTAGTCGTCACTCCAGTTCGACTTAAACAAACTCCCTCTGAGGAGTTAAACAAGTGACTGACGTTGTGGAAAACTCGTCTGAACAGAGCCGTGTCTCTGGGCTTTGGCAGCAATCAAACTCTTTACAAGTTTTGGCGTTGAGTTCAGGTTCCTCCAGGTAAAACCTTCAACTTTATGTCTCACTTTCTTTTCTGTTTTCAACAAATAAAATGAAGTGATCCAAAAGTTCTGCATTTGAACAGCTGCCTCTGCAAGGTGCTGCCAAGAAGGAAATAAAGTTTATTTTTCTCTTAAATAAAAAAAAACTGGAAAAATATGTCCAGCAGGGAGTCTGTGCCGAGAAGGAAACTACTTCTACTAACTGTGATTGACTTTTGGATCTTCTTCTGAAGATTGATGGGTATCGTTTAAGGTCATCCAAACGATACCCGTTCATCCAAATAACAAAAAAATAAAGCTAATATTTTCATAGGGACTATGTTCTCAGTAGTTCCAATAAAAACATGTTCACAGCGACTGGAAAGATGTGCTGTAATAAGAAATGTTTAAAATGTGGCATAAATGGGATCCATTGTATCGGGGTGAAGGCTGAACTCTCAAACGCATTAAAACGGGAGTAAAAATGTGTTTATGGTTCCAGTGAACAGACCTTTCAAAGTAATTCATGGACTCAAATTCTGTCCGTGTTAGAGGACGACACGTCAGTCAAAGTCAGAGCGAGGCCACAGTTTTTATCCTGCTTCCTTTAAGATGGAAATAAAATCCCTAATTAAGTTTACCTCTGAATGTGTTCACCTGATAACACTGCTGCTGTATCAATTAAAACATTACAATACAGCCATTTTACAGCCTAAAGGATCACCAAAAATTATCTATAATCTTTTTTTCAAATCAATTAAGTCACTGTTTAAGTAAAAGTACTGAACATTCCCAGGTTTCAGCTTCTTAGTTAGAAGACAAAGAAAAGCAGCAAATCCTCCTGTGATAATGAAATGAATGCCTCAAGGTTTGGGAGGACAAAACAAGCAATTAGACTCAGATCTCAGCTTGAGCTTCAGGAAGCTGATGGCGTGTTTTTTTGAAATTTTTTGGAAGAAAAAAAATCAATAAATAAAGAAAAATAATTTGCAGCTTAATTGGTAATGAAAATAGTTGTTAGTTGAGAAAAGAACAAACCATACAAGGTCTTATTGATTGACCCCCTTTAATCTGGTCAGAGTTCATATTTTAAATCCAGAGGTGGGTTTCCATCCAGATGTGCTGAATCTGTGGTTTGTTTTAAGCGAACTCATTTAGGTTCGCCTTTTAATGAACGCACCGTTTCCCTCTAGCCTCATTTATCTGCATTTGCTCCTATATGTGACGCACTTTGTAGTTGTTAGTTGGTTTTATTTAGATCTCCAGCAGCTACAGTAGCTGCTCTTCCAGGGGTCCTCTATCTTATCTCTTAAATCCACAACCTTGCAGTGACTTTTGTCTGTGCAGTAAAACTCTGAAAGCATTCTTTCTGTTTCGATAATAAAGGATAGAAAACTGTGCAGTGGTTTTTCATCAGCGCTGCAGACGCTGTGAAGAAAGCAGCCACCCGAAGCCTCCGACAGCAGTTTCTTCACAACAGCTTGTGAATCTTGTCGATGCAGTGAGAGAGAGACAGGACAGATGCCATACGTAACACATAAAGAACAACCTGCTTATCGAACGTCGGTTGGCTGTCCGTACCTGCGGGGGGCGTGGCTTCGCTCTCTGCCGGCTGCTCATTGGTCTCCTGAGCAGTCAGGTCGGGCGTGGTGGGTTCAGCCTGGCTGAGCTTCTGCAGAAAGAATCAACAGGTCAACAAGTCTCCAACACCAGACAGGAAGAGTTTCTCTGAAGTTGTTTTTGCTTCATTTTGTTTCTTTTGCTTCATGAGACAGATTGGACGCTTTCATCAGTGTGAACAGTTTAATTTAAACACATTAGCTAGAAAAGACTGTGACCAACCAGCTCATAAACACTTTGAAATCAGAATCAGAATTTGACGAGACTTTAATCTCATACCTTAAGGAAAGTAAAGACAAAAAAAAAAGGACAAGCATATATAAATATCAACCAATACTGCACCTCGGCAGCACTGCCTTCCTCGTCTTCTTCCTCTTGAGTGGAGGAAGGCGTAGCCTCCGTTTGACTGACAGCTGTCTGTTCAGACGTTTCCCCGGCAACCTCAGAGGCGCCCGTGGCTGCGTCCGTCTCCTGAGGAAGGAAGACAGAGAGGAAAGAAGACAAATTTGAGCTCATAGTTTTGCTCTTTAGGAGTCAGACGGGGCGACAAACACGATCAGTCAGGCGGAGAGACAGGTTTAAACACGCCATCGGTTTATCCAGGTTATCTGAGGCAAATCGAATATGAGCCCAGCATTGCTCAGGTAACAGTGTGCACACAGCTTCAGCCTGTATGGAAGCTCGGAGGTGTACCAGAAAGTTGTCAATGGCATCGTTCACTGTACACGTTCATTAAGTTTAAGATAAGTTCGTCTAACCCGAGGCTTTGTTTAAAACCTGACTTCTTTTTAGTGACGTTGCTGTGTTGGATTGTACATTTTCAAGGGGTTAATCCTGATAAATAATCATAATAATAAATAAGAGGCCCACGTTATAATAAACCAGAATCATCCTTTAAGATACGCAAAGAAAGAGCTAGAAAATAAAGTTTTGCCCATTAGATGTTTCTTTAAATAGAACTGCTGTAGGATCAGAAGGAGATGAGATGCTAAAAGCGAGAGTTTGGACTCTTCTGTCAGTATTTAAAGACACGTAGCATCCTTTATTCACAATCTTTAGTTTGCATCTTTTTCAGTTTTAGCCCCTTCCACTGTCACAAGCGGTTTATTGCTCGCACTAATCTGCAGGCATCAGAACATTTCCGTTGCTGCCCCCAGTAAGTACGCTGACATTTAGTCCCAAAACCTCCACATGCTGGAATATTCCTAAAAAAGTCACGACTCAGCAAAGAAGAACTGCTTGCTGGTGTTTCCTACTGGAAGCTAAACAGCACAAACAACGCTCCCCGGCCAGTCTCTCAATCCGCTGCTAAATAAGTTTCAGATGTGCGGAGGGTGAGCCGAGGGAACGGGGGGGGCGGCGGTGCCAGGGATCAGCCGATTCCCCTGTTGATTTGTGGTTAAAACTGATCATTTCTGCGGGAATGTACAGTCCAGGTAACGGTTAAACACCATCTGTATGGTGGCTCAAATGTAAACGGTGAACAGCAGCGACTCAGAGAAGTTATGGAGGATAAATAAATACTTGCTGGTAAATAAAATAATTATTTAACTGTCACCTCTTCCACAAAACATTTTTTCAGCCAGATCACCGAGCTCCTCCTTTGCTTTTCTTTTAAATGTTCCTCATGTGCCATTAAAGTACTGAGTGCTTTCTGTTTTTATGCCCTTAAACCGTGGAACACACTCCCTCGGCATTTTTAAAAGCCTCTTTTCAATCTGGCTTTTACTTTGAAGTAATGTTACAGCCTTAGTTTTAAGGTTTTAATCTTTGGTTTTTACATTATTTGTCTCCCTAGTGACTATTTTTCACATCGCCTTTTATTTTTATTTATTTTATTTTTACAGTTTTACATTTTTTTGTTTTTATTGTATTCATTTTTAGCCTTGCACAGGTTTATTTATGGTTGTCCAGTTTGCTCTGTGAAGCAGTCTGAGCTGCATGTTTGTATGAAAGGTGCTGAAATAAGGTCAAGGTGAGGTGAGGGAAGGAAAAAGAAAGAGCTCAAAGAGAAACAGAGAAACAGAGACAAATCTGATCAAAGAGGTTCAATTCTTTGAACAGGTAGACTTCAGTGAAACGATAAACTGCCAAAACTGATAAAGATATAAAAATCTTGGCATCACTTTAAAGTAAAATAGTTGAAATAAAAGGTTGTTTTTTTATGTTTGCTGGAGGGAGAGCTCTTACACAACCACATACTTTGGATTCAGCCTCGGGTCACTAACCTGCTTCAGCTCATCGTCATCCACTTTGTGCTCCTCGCTTCTCCCGCTGTCCGAGCTGGCTGCATCCGGCGCCGGGAGCTGCTCCTTGACCGGATCACAGGCGGCTCGTCCGGGGTCGACCTGGCTGGAGTCGCCCGGGGTGGGTTCAGGCACTTCCTCTGAGTCCGAGGAGCTGGAGCTTTCTGCCTTGTTAGGCGCCTCAGCAGACACTTCAGCGGGGGCCAGCTGTAAAATATGTACAAGCAGGAACTTAGAACTGCTTCAAAATAAGACCCCCCACCTACTTTTCTCCCTTTCAGTTGGATTTAAAAGAGTAAACCAGACCCAAACCAACATCAGTCCGTCTCTCAATAGAAGACGGAAATCTTTATGAATGTGTTTGTCAGTTTTAAACAGGGTGAACAGCAGCTGGGTGCTAAAGCAAACACAATCAAACAGGAGGAAATCGAGCATTTGTCAGGGACTATTTCCTGCAGAGTAATCCACATTTGGTGCTCTGTGTGTTTGCAGTAATGAAGCAACATGTCTCCCAGTGCAACCGTGTGGCTCACTGATGTGTTTTTATAGTTTTTGGACAACAATGGAGCTCTGTAGCAGAGAGGGATAACGTACCGAAAGCTTTGACACGCAGTACTGTAAGATCACTTCAATCCCAACTGAAAATCATGAAACTACAAATCAAACATATGGGAAAAAGACAAAGAAATGAAAAAGGCTTCAGACACATGATGTTAAATGTGTTTGGCAGATTGTATTAATCTCGTCCTCGGCATGAGGGCCAGATTTAATTTGACCAGCTGGAGGTTGGAGACAAAAAGACTCTAAAACAAAAACTCTGCTTTTAATTCTGTTCAGTCGAAACATCTTTGTTCTGTTAAAAAACAATCAGTGCGGTAGTGCGAGGCTGTGTGTGTCTTAAAGGAAAGTGTGTAAAAAAAAACGCAACTCTTCTGCTGTCAGACACAAAGCAAAGTAATCAGGGTCTGTAGACAGAACCACAAAGAGCCATTAACACACCGACACACACACACACACACACACAATTTGTCTCAGAAGATTATCATTCTGTCACACACACAGTTTCTGTCCAAACAGCATTATCTACTGCATCACTGGGCCAACAGAAAGGAAAAGAGACAAGACTTAGATACACTCTCTTACACACACAAACACAGACACACACTTGAAATAACAACGAGCAAACTAACAGATACAGGACAGACAGGGAAAGACATGAAATGTGTCTGTGTGTATTTCAGAAGCATAAAATAACACTGGAGCTACTGTCCATCTATCAGCACATTATTACAGTGGCTGGACAACAGCTATGTGTGTGTGTGTGGTTTCCTGCTGGTGCTGTAAAGCTGTAAAGGTAAAATGTGACCCATCAGCTCTGTAATGAAAGTACTGTAAAGTTCTGAAGTGCTGCCCAGATTTAAGAAGACGTGTTTGTTTGGTCCAGACGCCAACATATGTCACATCTTTAAGATTTTAATAGTTTTTTTCAGTGAATGAATGCAAATATGATCATTCTCACACTAATTAGGAATCATATCGTAATATCTGTCAAAATAATGGCAACATGATGTTTTTACCATATTTTGCAGCCCTTAATTAGATATGGTAAATTGTAGTCCTGGATGATTTATAGATCTTACCTTGTTTAATTCATTCTGAGATCTTGGATCTTTTTTTTTTTTTTTACAAAAGGTCTTCTTTCTTCCTAATTCATTTTCTTTGAGGTCTACTTTGGATTATATACAGTCTGTCAGAACTGGGATCTATTCTCCTATTTGACAAACGAGCCCAATAAAGCAGATGAGGAACATGCTGCTCGCTCATTCAGCTGCAGAAAACGCTTCAATAAATTCATTTTCCTTTACCCGACTACAGTATACTGATGTGCAGAGGATGTCTGTATCGCTGTAACATTGCTAACATACAGATAATGTCTTGATGAAGTGTGTTTGGCTCTGATCCCTATCAAACCCTCACATACTGTTCCGTTTTCAATCCAATCAAGGAAAATTGTGGTTTTAGGGAATCTGTATTTTTTTTAATATTTTTATTGGGGCAGTAGTGACAGAGTTCATTGGGACCCCGACACTGTCACGAGTACCGCCTGCGTTCCCACTGAGACAGCCACCTGTTGGACGTCTCATGAGGAAATCCAGAAATAGTAAAAGAGTAAAACAGCATGATCATATCTGGAGCACATAGAGGTTAAAGGTCAAACAATACGACCTGCAATGTTACTAAATATCCTCAAAATACACAAATCTAGTCCCAGCTCACCAACAGAGATAAAAAGAGGGGTTGGGAGGGGTCATAAGAGACTTACTGTCCAACACATCATTGACCTGGCTCCTCCCAGATGAGAAGTTTGTAATAAGTAATGATTTTTTTGTTTGTTTGTTGGTTAAATGTCAATTAATGTTGAAGTAATAGTTAATAGTTATACTTAGATAGTAGTTATGAGGATTTCTTTATGATATAGCAGTGAGCACAGCATCTGAGTGTTGTAATGGTTATAAATGGTTATATAATAAACCACACAGTTCCACAATGTTCTTGTCATTTTCAGTTTCAATAAAATACATTAAAATCTTTATATCTGTTATGTTTTCATGGGTTAGGTAAAATAGGACATGATGATATTCTGTTATAGAGGTTTTTTCTCCATAAACGAGGAGTGTAGACCTCCCTGCTCTCTGAAACAACATCAATCACCCTTTCATTGAGGTCAGATAGTCTAAAGATTCAACATTTGGTATAGAAACATAATACACACTGACACTATAATAAGAGGATTCAGTATATCAGTGCTGATTTGATGTAAAAATGCATCTGACACCTTACTTTTCACGAGATCCAAATATTGAGCTTCTGTTCACTGTTCACGTATTTATGTCGTATTATTGTGAGCAAGAAAACAAGAAATAAATATACTTTTTTACATTCATCCACATTAATCTGACTTGATGCCACATATTTTGTTCTTACGAGGGTCTCGATAAACTTCTGCAGACGTGGCTATCACCGCCCGTTCATTGCTGCTGCAAACATCGATATTCTCATCAGCTAGCAGCGGTGGATGAAGGACGATGCAAGCGGCACACGGATTGTTAGAACAATAAAAAGGTGTGAAGGTAGACCAGATCAGGAGGAGGCCGTCAAACTCAAAGAGTGTGAAAACAAAAGGGAATGTGACTGAAGGTTTAATGCTGAAGGTCGAGGGAGGAGACAGCATCACTCATTTTACTTTCCCTGCTCACCTCTTGCTCAGGTTTTGTTTCCTCCTCTTTCTTTTCTTCTTCCTCCTTGCTGTCAGAGGTGTCGGAGCTCTCACCTACTGAGTTTGTTACTTTGGTTTCACAGACCGGCTGCAGCAGCTGCTCAGAGGCGGCCTCAGCGTCGGTCATAGACTCTAACGGCACAAAACGCATATACAGGATTTATGGTCAGAACGAATAACTTAGGTACCAAAAATAACAAAATTATACGACACAGGACAGAAAACAATTACCACAATCTTGTAGACACAAACTAAAATTATCCAAATATAAAAAACAAAACGAAGACTTACCAAGTGGAGGTTTGGCATCCACATTATTTTCTTCTGTGGTGTCGGAGGGTTTGCTGTCTGCACCCTCTTCTTCTTCGCTGGTGGTTGGTTCTGGTTTGATGCTCTGCTTCTTTAAAGCAGCGGATTCTTCTGTTTCCTGTTTGGCATCCTGAGCTAGAGAGCACAGCCTGCAACAAACACACATTTTATTATGGAAAGGTGATTCAGAGAGACTGAAAAATCTAATTCAAAGTTGAAGAAAATTTTTCTATAATCAGGTTATTTGTTATTTAGGATTAGGAGGAACATTACCTCGGGATCAAGTGTTTTTAGGCCCAGTCTGAGTCCTTTAATACTGGTTATCTGCTGATCTGATACTTATATTTACTTAGTTATGTTAATAGTTGTGCTAATGTTATGTCCTTTAACTTAAAAAGTGTCTTTGTGTAACATAAATAAAATCTATCATTATTATTATTAATAAATGTGTCTCATTGAAATAACAGCTGTGGCCTGTTGAATTTGGAGTACTTTCTGAGCCACGTTCTGACGGGCTCAGTCGGTAAAATGTTTCTCACAGGAGGCGTTTCGTCTTATTTTTGGGTCGGCCAGTACGATTGTGATGGACCGGCTCTGATTTGTATTGTTTTGGTGGAAGATTCACATCTCATAGACGTGAGCTGAGGTCATTCACTGCATCATCTATCTGCTGCCTGTGTAATCCCTTTCAGGGTGGCGGGGATTTGAAGCCAATCCCAGAATGCACTGGGCAGGAGGCCAGACAGTCATTCACAGGGACACACACACACACACTCTAATAGTTGCATCCTGTTCACAGAGACAGTTTGGTTGATGGTTGAATCATTTAAAATAAAAGCCATGAAGAGCTAAAAGTTCACAACTAATACAACTTATTCTGTTCTCCCATAACCGCCATCAACCACGAGATCTTTAAGTTCTTTAGGCTGTTGTTGGTTATTCACACTGGAGCAGACTCAAACATCTAAACGTATAGCAAACAATATTATTGGGTATTTATAACTGTACAGTGTATTCAATGCAGGTTAGTGTTAAAGAAAAGGGTCCTAGTTTTATTCAGACTATAATTCCATTTTAATATAGTCTAATGTTTATTATTTATCACTTTTATACTGTTTTGTTTCCTTCATGAGCATCCTTATTCTTCTTCATGATTTATGTGACTCAGCAGCACTGGGACAAAGTATTTTATCATATTCATCCTTCAGTCTTTCTTAACTTGTTTATGACATTTGAGAAGGCCGTTTCCTGCGTCTACGGCTAAAATGGATGATTGAAAACAGCAGCAGAGACTTTGTGACTTACTTCATCCAGCCTGTGTAGATATCACGCAGGTTGGAGCTCTCCTCTGGGCTCTCCACCTTCACAAATAAAAAAAAAAACACAATAATATTAAAGCTATTGAACATGATAACATCACAGGAACCAAAGTGCTTTTGAAACTTTCCCTGCAATCACCAAAAAAAACACATTTTTCCAATGTTTGACCGATGCCCGAATGTTTCCATCTATAATGAGACGGCTGGACAATATTCCTGTAACCCAACTATGATGACGCAGACAGAAGAGGGAAAGAACAAATTTCCTGTGGTTCAGGAATGCTTCCACATTGATGCCACACACCGGAAATGAATCCATGCAGCAGAATCCACGTAGGTTCAGATTTAGGGCCAGTTTTCACTCTTGTGGTCGTCCTAAAACTCTGTCAGCAACTTTTAACAATGATATTTTTAGCACATGAGCCTGAAACCTGAAACCTGTGACTGACCAAAGCTCAGGTTTCACCACAGCTGACATAAGAAATAACATATGTGTAATTGTAGTGCAAGAATAATACAATTAAAGTGACATTATGTTAAAAACATAATTAAAAAAACAACTATTTTTGCAGCAGAAAGAGGTTTAATCATCCAACCAGACAGAACAGTTCATTTTAAAATGTGTTTTTATTGAGATTTGATTGAATACACTGAAAACATTATACAAAAACACTAGTTGAGCAATGTGGAACCTTTTTACAGCCTCTGAGTGTGTCTGGTTGCATCAACACCCTGCATATTTATTCTGAACATTTAAATCTGCAACCAAAAACTGTTATCATCATTAAATCTGGAGATTATGTTTTTGATTAATTAATTTATTGTTTGGTCAATTAACACATCAGAAAACAATTCCAATATATATTCCAGAGTTGTATCATCAGATTACTTTTTCTGTCCAACCAAAATCCCCCAAAATATGTAAATTTACTTTAATGTAAAACACATTCTCAAACATGAGGACCTGGAAGGACTGCTTGAAAAACTATTAATTGATTATCAAAATAGTAGCCGATTGATCTTCTGTCGATTGTTTAATCAATTAATCCAGTAATCATTGCAGCTGTAGGACATCTGAATAAAAATAAACAACTTTTATCACTAAACAGTGTAAAAATGTAAGGGGCTTTGGAATGGCGTCAGTGTGCAGCAGCAGGCCTGCAGCAGAGGGAAGCTGCTGAAACAAAATGTTCTTTTCCTGCAGGAGGCCTGAACAAGGAGCCATGTGCTTAAACACACACTCAGAGACAGAGTGCAGCTCACAGACAGCAACTCTGGAGCAAACACACACTCAAACCACATTTATATTTAACCCAGGCCCTTATATAACATGCAAAGCGCGGATGTCAGCTCAATAAACAGCAATACAATCAGCAAAAAGCATCAAAATGAACACAAAAACAGCGATGCAGAAGAGACTCAGCTCCCTGAATGTGGGGGGGCTGTACGTGCTGAAGGATTTCAGACCAAACTTACCTGAGCAACGTGTTTTTCGAGCACCTTTGCAGCTTTCTTGTAGCCGTTCACCTTCAGGTGCTGGTAGATGAGGAAGAGCAGCGCGCCGTCTTCCTCCGGACCCATCCTGAGCGACTGGAGCCACTGACACCGCCGGGAAACCGACCCAAAACTGGAATATTATTGAGCACTTACTCACAGTTCAGTTCATGCTCGCTATTCAGCGTGCGGCCATGAGCGCTGACGACGCCCCCCTCGAACTGCACCATGGGAAGTGGAGTTTTTTTGGGGTTTTTTTTTATTATTTTTTTTTAAAGGGCAGCAATGGACAATGAGCACAAAAGCATCTTCTGTGAATAAAGAAGTGAAATTAACCAATAACACATCTTAGAATAATATCACGCCTGTGAAAATGTGATATATTATAGTTACAACTGTTTATATTTATATATTGCAAGCCAGATATATTTAAAAAAACATATTTTTTATTAATTAAATCTCTATAATTAAGGCTAAACCTGTTTAAAATGACTTTAGTTTGTTAAATATCCTCTTATCCAGTCATCTTATTTCTCCGTTTATTGGTTTAATAGGAACACTGTGGGCTTTGATAATGAAATAATAAGCAACTTGTTGCTTTTGGATTGGATTTAAATTTTAAAAAAGCAAAGTAAGTACATTAATTATTCATTAAGAATCAGTTGGTGGTCAATTAATGGATTTTGTAGACGTTCAATAGGATTTTTCACAAACAAAATAACTTCTAAAATGTATTAATTAGTTACTACCTCTCTATAGAAGACCATTTAGACCAAGATCATGTTAGGAAGGGGGGGTTGAATACTCAATTCATCAGTAAATGAGTCACATCTTTTACAGTCAAGGCCTAAATAAGATAAACAAAAAGAAATCTGTATTTCTGAACACTACACAGCCCTGAGAACAGGAAGTCTGGACAATGTCCTCAGCAAAACATGGTCGTCCACCCAACTAATTTGGACTCATTTGTCTTTTACTGGCAGAAATGGGCTTCCTTAACCCACCATGAATAAATTACATAAAGACCCATGACAGTAATAATGAAATATTAAAGCCTTGGCACTTAAATGAACAATTAAAACCGGTGTAAGGGTGAAATTAAGGGTGTTTAAGGGTTAAAACTGTGTGTTTTAAGTCTGGTTGAACGGCGTCTGGCACTGTTCCTTCCTGCATTGCTCACTGCCAGTGAATCAGGCTCTAATAAATCACACACAACCTCTATCACTGCTCTGTTTGTTGGATACTTGGAGCGGGATGAACCACCAGCAGACTCACTGTTTGACATGTTCAAATGGAGACAAATAGTGTGAATAAATAACACCATTCAGAAGAAATAAGAGCTTACAGTGTTAGAAGACCAGGACAGAAACGAGCCGCCTATCCCTTCACTCTTTCTGCCTAATTTACGTTCAGGTGTTTTAAATAACCGCTGTCAGTCATCCCATCCATTCATCCATTCATCCATCATCGTTAACACAGTCACAAAGAGGAATAACAGGATTTCTGTTTGCAACTTTCAAAATAAAAGCACTTACAAAGTTTTTGTGCAGCTCAAACCAACCACAGAAAAAGTTGTATGGCACTTTAGATCATGTTCTCTACCTAATATAGTAATCAGGGAATATAATATAACCCTATCATCAAGGCTGTAAGTACCGATACCAAAACAATACATTTCTGACACATTACTTTGAGGAATAAAAGCATGTTTTTCTTCAAAGCTCTTTTTAAAATTATAATTCAAGTCTAAGTAGATGGTGAACCCATTGAGATGCACCATCTCGTTGTCAAGGGGGTTTAAATTCATCAAGCAGCCTCATAGAAACTGTTCATAACAAGTTTTTGTATTCATTCATATTATCAGTAATAATAAAGAGTACAACGCTGAACACACCTGACACCTGATGCTGACACATTTCAGACAGTATAATTACTATTACCATTACAGTACTTTTACTATTACCACCATCTTGCAACTACAACTTCTTT